TAGAGTGTCCCAAGCAACTTCCTGATTTTATGCTGTTTTTAATCTGCCAATCCCCAAAATGCTACCACCACAGTTTATAGTGAATAAGCAACAATTAGTTTTTACTAGAAGCAAACCATAATAGGAAATACTTCACCAACCAGAGAGGTTGCTGTCCAGACAAACAGTTTCCTCTCCCTAGGAATCAAAGCAAGCAAGTGATCTGTCCAAGATCACACATCCAGAAACTAGCAGAGTTGACATTGGGACCCACTCAAACACTGGTCTTTTGACTCTGGTGATCTCTCCAATAAGCCAGGCTGCCCCTCTCAAATAAAAATAATGAGGGTACTCACTGTTCAGTGGACCCAATAAAACAAATGCAAATAAAAGATGATAAAAATATATAAGTATATAAAGCAAGTATATAAAAACATATCTAACCAGTTATGGCTTTATACAAAAATGCTGAATATCAGTGAAATTTAAATAGAGATGCCAAAGTGACTTGATTTGTTAGAGCTCTTCTTTATATTGGTGTTTAGTTATCTGTCCTTTGGGTTTCTGGGAAATGTATCTCAGTGAAACAGTATTTCCCTTGGGGTTATATAATCTTGGAATCAGGAAGATCTGAGTTCAAATCCAGTCTCAGACAGTAAAAGATATATAAGAACATGAAATTGATATTAAAAGTCTCTAGCAGTCTGTCCTTTGAAGTCATCGAGGGGCCTAAAGATCCAGTCCAATAAACCTCAGTGTTACAAGGAAAGTAAACCCAGGACTTGGGGGTCGGTACAAGACATTAAAGTGACCCCAAGGTGAGACTGAGCAGAGTTTACTGACTCTACCCACAAGTGCACAGCAGGGGAGCAGAGTCTGGCTCTGACCCAAAGAACAAATTCAGACTCTAAGGCTGGAGAGATGAATAAATAAAAGCATACAACCACCAGCATAAAAAATTACAGATCTAGAGATGCCTAATAATCCAGTCTAGAAGAAAACTTCATAATAATTGTAAGCAGTGACTTTCAAGGGAAAAAATAGATTTTCCACAAAGATTACATAAATGCCTAGAATAAAGGAAACAAAAGGGGTTTTTTTTTGTTTGTTTTTAAGGAAATAATAATTCTGGCAGATGAACAAACAGTTTAGAAGAGAAAGTTGCAAAAGAGAATATCAGAATAGACCAAAATGGCTCTTTAAGAGAGCAAGAAACATTAAAACTCAAAGGATTGACAAAATATAAGACAATGTAAGATATCAGATATCAAGAATGACTGACCTAGAAAACAAACCAAAGAGAGATAATTTAAGAATCTCTGGACTCCCTGAAAACTATGATTTTTTTTTTTTAAGAATAAAGCTTGGACACTATATTTTAAGAAATCCTAAGTGACAGTTTCCTAGTTCTACTAAAACTAGAAGGCAAAATGAACCTAGACAGAATCTACCAATTATCTCCTGAAAGAAACCTCAAAACAAAGAGTCCTACATGCCCCCCCCACCCCCGGTAAATGTTGTAGCCAAAATCCAGACCTAACCATAAGAGAAAAAAAATGCTGCCAACATCCAGAAAAGAGTTCAGGTACTAAGGAGTCACTGTCAGGATCACATGAGATCTAAAGATCTGGCAGCTTCTGCTCTAAAGGAGATGGGATCTAAGAATATATTATTCCAAAAGGCAAAAGATACAGGCTTACTGACAAGAATGACTTACCCAGCAACACAGAAAATCATCTTAAAGCAGAGAGAAAATTAATCTTTAATGGAATAGAGGACTTTCAAGTATTTCTGGTAAGGAAATCAGAGCTAAATAGGAATACTGGAATACAAACTCAAGAGTCCAGAGAAACTTAGAAAGATGATAAATGTATTTGAGCAATTGGAAGGAGCTAAGTGATGCTATAAAGCTAAAATTCTGGGGGGGGGGAGAGAAAAAACAAATGTTCTTTAAGAAGCTTAGTGTCTTTAATGGATATTGAGGAAGTTAAATAAGAAAAACAGAGGACCTGGGGATTCTAGAACTGTCATAGGAAAAAGAGAAGCGAGGGGGAAATGAATACACTGTGGTAAAAAAGAGGAAGAAGGAGGTGAAACTTACTAGTTCTCATAATGGGAATACATGAGAGGAATATTCACAAATATTAAGATGGAGGAGTGGGCATCAGATTAACTTTATTGTTGTATGAATCAAAGGGTTAAAAATATACATACTCATACACAGGGTTTATTGTAGAAATACATCAAACTCAACAGGGAACTAGCTTGGATGGGTAGAGAGGGGGAAGTTAAGAGAGAATAATTGTGGGAAGGGAATAGTCCCCAGCAAAATAAATTTCTTGATCCTTAAGAGATCTTAAAAGGGATGGGGGAAGGGAGCAGACAAAGTAGGAGCTAAGAGTGTACCCGTTAATTAAAGAGTGACAGCAATACGAAGGTAATAGAAGAGTATTTCACCAAAAGAAATTATGTAAGACATTATTTCAGAGAATCTTGGGTTGTACAATCTGATGCTAGGGAGGTGAGCAGATCCAGAACAGTGTATATGAGGTTATTGTTTAGTCATGCCCAACTCTTTGTTGACCCCTTTTGGGATTTTCTTGGCAAAGATACTGGAGTGGTTTGCCATTTCCTTCTCCAGCTTATTTTATAGATGATAAAGCTGAGGCAAACAGAGTTAATTGTCATAAAGCTAGTAAGTGATGATAGGAGGACAGCATTGTGGAAAAAAAAAAAGTTACAAAACTAAAGAATTCTACCAGTGCAATAACCAACTATGTCTACAGAGGACCAGTGATGAAGCATGTTATCCATCTCCTGACAGAGAAGATAGACTTGAAGTGCAGGAAAAAAAACAGATTTTTGAACTTGGAAAAGATATGGATTCATTTTGCTTGACTATGTTTATTTTGATGGCTGTGGATGAGAGAGTGAGGCTGATGCCTCACTTAAATCTAATTCACATGCAAATCAAGATATCACCTTATGATGTCATTGGGCCTCTTTGAAAATTTAAGAAAAACCACAATGGGATTTTTTTTTTTTGTCTTTTTAATGGGGTGGGAGGGAAGGGATGGTTAGAAATAGTGATGACAAAGTATTGAGACATTTTTTTTAAATGCATAGAAGAGAACAGAAAGTTCAAAAGGAAACACAGAGAAGTAGAACAATTTTCAAAGTAATGGATTGAATTTATTATATATTCTTTTTTTAAAGCAAGTGGTGCAAAATGGAGATTCGGTTTCATTATATAATCTACTTTTTGTGTTCTTCTATGTGTATGGAAATGTTCTTTTTTGGTCTTTAAGTTAAAAAAATAAAATTTTAAAAAAAGAAGTCATATTTTTACTGTCATGGGAAGAGAGATCTGAACTTGTGATTTGCAGTAGAAAACGCCCTCTACCAAGATTATCAACAACTATTCTGTAATTTAGGATCTTAGAGAATTTCCTGAGGGCACTAAGAGACTGGCCTAGACTCACAGAGCTAATAATATATCAAAGGCAGGACTTGAACCCAGGTCTGAATACCATGTTTCATTATACCACATTCCCGCTACTATTTTTTATTATTATTAAACAATCTGATGTGACACATGATTCAACTGCCAATAATCTCAAGTTGAGGGGCTAGGGGAAGGGACTTCTCAACTTGATGGATGTGTTTTACCTTGAGATATACTACATGTTTTTAAAGGTATGTTAATCTGTTTGGAAGGTGGGGAATGCAGGAGTGTGACAGAAGCAAAAATTACTCCTTGGGATTGTAGGATCATATATTAGAAGCCCTGTGATCTAAGCCTCCTTCTATGAATAAGCGTCACCCATATGGGATTTTATAATGCTATACAAGTTGAGGAATCATTCAGTCTGTAAGCATTTATTAAGTACCTACTACATACCAGGCACAGTGCTAAATGCTGGGAATTTTTAAAAAAAGGCAAAGTTAGTCATGCAGTCAATAGGCATTTATTAAGCTCCTACTATGTGCCAGGCATTGTATAAACCCTAGAGATACAAAGAAAAGCAAAAAACACTCCCTTCTGTCATGGAGTCACAGTCTGATGGAGGAAACAGCATGCATTTAAAGGACTGGACACTTTTCCTTTTTTGTAGAATAGTTTCATCAGTAGAATATGGCTCTTTTACATCCTGAAGTCAATCCACGTAAGCAGTAGCTCCTTTGTTTACTAGGCTGAGAGTTGATCTTCCTTTGGGATGAGAAATGATGGGCCAAAGAGGCTGAAGGAGCCTAGTTTAAGCTGTGTAGGTCAATGGGGTAGGAAGCAAATGAAGGTGATAATTAGCCTGAAAAGCATTTGTTTGATTTCTTCCCATCCCCCCCAACTCGTTACTCCTCATCAATGGAAATGAGGCCCTGTACTTAATACCTTGACACCTTGGCATTTTTCTGTCAAGATGCTGGGCATTAAAGCTCTTTCCATTTGAAAACCACATTTCCTTTCCTTAAATGCTTTTAGACAAAAGTGTTCATTCATTCATTCATTTCATTACACCAACTTCTGTTTGGTTTTCTCTCCTGACTTTTTTCCTTCCCTATCTTTTTTTGGGGGGCGGAAGGGAAATCTTAATTAAAAGCTGTAGCCCCCCCAAAAAATTTAACATCTCTATTAAATAAAAGCATTTGCCATTTAGTATTTTTTTAATTTGCTAAACGTATTTCCTTTATTATTCTTAGGCACAAGGAAGAAGGGAGCCGGAGGGCACCAAGTATCATTGTATATCCTATTAAACATAAAGACAAACACACTTACAAAATGATGAATGACCCAGAAAGAGCAAAGTGGGAGAGAAAGGGCAGAAAAGAGTACATAGGGGTGGGGTGAGGAGGGAATGGGGAGCTTGTAAGTATAAAGTGTTTGCCTTAGGGCCTATCCTCAGTTTCAGAGTCAGACTCACATGTTTGGACTGTTCTGATGTAGTAATGAAGCATTGATTACAGGGGGGGGGGGGGGGGGGAGATGAAATGGCCTTTGATCATTCATTATTTTTATCTCCTAGCTGTGGAAGACAGAAAATTGTTCATAGGAATGGTTTCGAAGAAGTGTAATGAGAATGATATCAGGGTGATGTTTTCTCCATTTGGCCAGATAGAAGAATGTCGAATCCTCCGGGGACCTGATGGGCTGAGTCGAGGTGAGTGTGCTGTCTATAAAAGTCTCTTTCCTTAAGTGCTAATTGGAACTCTGTGTCACAGTCAAGGTAGATGCAGCCACTGGGTACAGCTAGAGGTTACCCTGTAATATGTCCCATGTGATGAAGTTATCCACCTGAACTTTTCACCGTAGCTGAAATTAGCACCTTTTATTTCAAAAGTCAAGAAGGTCTCAGTGCCAACATATTAACTCATGTTATCACTCTGTTTGTTCAATGGAAAAGCTATCATAGTACTCTAAGAAAACACATCCCCCTTTTGATTCCAGATTGTAGTTTGTTTTCTTAGGCCTGGGGGAGCGAAGGTTTGGAAGGCAGGGATATTGGTTATTTGTGGTTTTCATTTTAGTCTCCTGATTTTTCTGCCTCTGCCAGAAAGAAATATTAAGATAATTACAGATTCTTTGATAGGGATACACATCAGGAAAACCTTTGATATTCACATGAAGCCCTATATGGACTTGGATTCCTGGTCCTTCGTTGAGCTGTCAGAATCTTTCTTTAGGAGGAAGCATCCCAGGGTCCCAAGTATGGAGAGGCTTTTAACAGATGAAGAAATTATTTGACTTCTGAACAGGGACTATTTTTCTGGGATTGTAGAATCTAAGGCCTTGTGCCAAAACATTTATGAAACCAAGCTTGACACTACTTTTACAAGAAACTATTCAGAATAGAGTAAAATACTGTTCTCTCTCCAATTATCCTCTTCCTCTCCTTTCCTAAGCCATTCATAAAATTGAGAAAAGGTTAGTAGTGACAGCAGAAAACCTTTCCAACACTTGGCTTTCTGTTTTCCAACTCAATCTTGGTGTACTCAGATATTAAGTACCTGTTATGTATGCACTAGGGAGTTCAGTATACAAAGATAAAATAAAAAGAACAGTCTCTGCCCTCAAGGAGCTTACAGTCTAGTAATTAGGAGAGTGAGAACTGTGTACAAGTAATGATAATATAACTTAGAAAATGATTAGCTTCAGGGACATGGACATGAAATTATTTTTACAGAGATGAAAAGTACCTTCTCCACCCTTAGTGTGAGATCTCTATTCAATATGTAGGAAAAGTACAAGTGCACTTTCCCAGTTACTGATTTCTTCTTATTCTCTACCCTTTTGGGTATGGGACCCCTCCATGTCACATAGTGATAGAGAAGGGTAAGCCATCAGTGACCAAACAGAGGCTCTTTTCTATTCATCTTACCAGCTCTAATTGTGTTTCAAGCCATATAGGACAGAGTAGTCTGTTCTGCCGACAGTAATGTATTGCAATGTCAGCTACCGCAATCCAAAATACAAAGTATAAAATCTTCCCACTTACATCCACCTACATAGCTCCAAAATGGAAGGAGACACCCAAAAAAAAATGACAGGTGGTAGAACAGCCAAGCTTTCATATGCCTATATTATTTCTGAAGGTGATATTTTTTTAAAGGGAGAGCAGGAGGCACAGAAATCACAGTTTATGCGTTCTCTTACAATTGAGATTCTTTTTGTCACAACATTCTCTGAAAAGCAGTTGTCTACAAGCAGTATGGAACATAGAGTTAAGTGTGATCCCTGGCCTTTGGGCTTCCAATCTAAGGCCAGATTGTGTCTGGCAGCTGGGCGAGAATCAGATTGAATCAAAAGATCCCTCACCAAAGATAAGTCATGGGATACTGTAACATCCACTCTATGGCGTCTTAGAGCCAACCATTTGGACAAGCTTTAGAGCATTGCAATGATACATTCTTCCCGTCATAGCTGATCCCATTCCACTAAAGACGGGTCTATGCAGACCCTGTTGAACAAAGTAGAAAGTTGGTGAAAGATCGTATGATTGAAAATTCAAAAAGGGTGTAGTATGTAGGGGAGAAACTTGAAATGGCATCGCTGCCCACTAAACAGGTCCACCACTGTCCATTGTTCTTCTCTGCCACACTTGGATGCCATTGTTATTTACCACTTTCTGTGGTACAGGAGACAGCCTTAGTGGTAGTCTCAATAGAAGGTGAAGTGGTTGGGGTGTGTGAGACCCAAATTCAACCACTGACTCTATGTGTGAAATGGAGCATGTCATTAAAGCTTTCTATGACTCAGTTTTCCTATCTGCAAAGTACAAATATTACTACTTTTCCCTATTCATAAGATGTGATGAGGATCTGTGAATTAAAAATATGAAAGTATACAAAAATACTGCATATGTACATAATAAAAGTACTAAATACATATCATTAAAATACTATATATATTATATATATAATATATATATATATATATATAGCATCATACGTGGTTTAATAGTGAGACCCTAAATATGGAGTTTGTACATTCTATGATTGACCTGGCCAATTTGTGAAAATTTCTGTGCCTCCCATTTCCCATCCTACTGTTAAATGAGAACCATAAGGAATAGTATGCCATAACATTGGAACATGTTGTATTTAGAGCACCTTTTATTATCAATAATTCTCTTTTCAGAGGAGGTTTTAGAGCAACCTAGACTCTCCTAGTAAAGAGGACATGATGCTTAATAAGATAATTTGCTTAATTTTATCAGCCATTTAGTTGATGTACCAGTACTTGACAACAAAAGTAGTCCATTTCTGAAATACAATTGAAGGAGTTCAGTGATCCATATTTTACCTGTAAAGCGGTCCAAAAATGTAGAGCACCCTCCTACCCTGTTTTTAAAAGAATACTCATTTTTGATGAACTGATGCTAATTCCCAATAGCAGTAAATAAATAAGTTGATTAAACAAGCTCATTTATAATCATTTGTTCTGAAATGTAAAGACAGACAGTGGTCTGCTTTCCCCCCTCCAATTTGTGGAACCCAGACTTTTTTTTTAATATAGGGGACTGCTCCTGAATAAGTATATTTGCTAAAAGAACAATTTTTGATGCCTCTATTTTGCTTTTATTAAAGAATTACAATTTTCAATCAAATTTTAATAAAGCATCTCCTATTACTGGCACTGCAGACAAAGGCTTTCAGCATTTCTGTTTCCAACTCAATGCTGGCTCAGCTATTTTAAAAAAAACGTTTTTTTAAAAAATTAAGTAAAATAAAATAAAACCTGGGTTTACTTGAAATACAGTCCCTATGTCTGCACTAGGGAGCTAATTATTTAATGAAAAAAATTTAAACCCATTCATTTGACTATGGCAAAAATGTTGGTTTAGCGATCTGATTTTTTTTCCTATTATTTTCTGATTACACTGACAAGAAAAGAAGCCATATGTGCGTCTCGCTCTTTCATTTATTTCTACACCCCTTTTCTATATTAATATACAGCTGAAATTATCACCAGTAATTGTTGCTTAGTAGCCCCTGTGGAATCAGCAAAGAGATCCCCAAGATAAAATAAGGTCTAAAAGTTTTGGCCTAAAAATCCTTTTGACCCAACAGCCCCATTTGAGTATATGTGGAGGGTGGGGGAAGCATATGCATCCAGACTTATGATTTCATTAGTATAAGCAACACCCAGTGATGAAACTCTGTCTACCAACACAGATGGACAACTCATCAATATCTCACAGTCTCTTAGAGAGTTGTCTGGGTCACTGAAAAGACTAAGTGACTTGCTTAGGTCACATATAGAATGTGGACCACAGTATAACAGAGAAAAGGGCTTGAATTCAGATCTTCCTGAGACCAAAGCTATCTCTGTGCCCCCCCCACAACCCTCTTCTAATAAGTGATTTCAACAGAGGAGCAACATCACAGTTATTAACAGGACCTCAGTGAAGAAAAAGGTCCTACCACAGCTCATCATGCCCAGATCTTTCCTGTGCCATGGTTGTTTCCATAGCATTAAAACCTAGTATGCCAGTCATGACTCTTAAAAAAAATCCACAACCAGAAACATTCCAAAGTGGGAAATTCCAGCTTCCATAGCTTTTAGTGTGCTATCATGGAGAGAGCACAGGATTTGGAGAACTTAGGTTCAGGGTCTGCTATTTATACTACCTTTGTAACCCTGGGCACAAACTTCTCAACTTCTCTGAGCATCTGCTTCCTCATCTGTAGAATCAGAGGGTTGAACAAAAATAGGTTGAGAGTTGGAAGAGGACCTCAGAGGGTCATCTAGTCCCACATCTTCATTTTACAGAAGAAGAAACTGAGGGCCAGGGAGATGAATTAACTTGCCCAAAGTCATAAAAGCAGTAAGATCTCTAAGTGCCCTTCCTGATATAAATCCTATTAGACTCATTTAAGAAGTTTTTGTATTATTATTTTTAATTTTTACTTTTGTCATATATTCATTCTTGTTGTCATCATCCGCTGAGTATTATACGAGGAATTTGTTCAATAAAAGTACATCTTAAACATAATTCTTAGCCACAGGGAGCTTATAGTCTGAAAAAAAAAAGTTATAACCAAAGGATGAAATACATTATCTGGAAGATATTAAACAAAAATCCTTATTTTTTACTAAGAAATCTAATGATGAAGAGTACAGCCAATACTGGAATAGAACAATAAGCAGATTGGATACCATCAAAAACTCATCATAATAATTTAGTTTGATCAGGATTTTTATCTAATTTGCTGCAATAAATGCATTTCCACGCCATTAAAATATACATTTACCCCCATTATTTTTGCAAAAACCTTCTTTTACTATTTTACCTTATTAGGAAACATAGTACAGGGACTGTTTGGAGTGAAGGTACATTATAAAAAACCAAGTTCCTGAAGAATTCTTCAGATTCCCATATAGCAGAGGGAACTCTCAGTCTCTTGATGACTGATATGAAAGGGTAGGAGCAATGTGTTAACATGTAGAGTACTGAATTTGTAGTTATAGGACTGAGATGCAAATCCTCCTTCTCTTAGGTACTACCTGTGTGAATTTGAACAAGTTACTTAAGTTCTCTGGGCCTCAATTTACTCATCTGTAAAACGAGTGGGTTGGACTTGAGATGACCTCAAAGGTCCCCTCCAGCTCTAAATTTATGTGTAGATAGACAGATTTGTATATGCTATGGATACATATATATACATACATACATGCCTGCCTTCATTAAGGAAATATGTTAAATGTCACATACCCATCCATTCTTAGATCTTCATCTTGAAGTTACATTCAGAATTCTGGTCTGAGACTCAAAGTTTGGAAAGCTAACACATATATTCAATAACATTAGCTCATTGATTTCCTAGGATGACCAAACTGGCATTTTTCCCCTTTATTCCATATCCAGGTTCTACTGAAAATTACTGGCCCTGTTGAAAATTATCCATTTTGGCACAATCAGTAAGATCTTGTCCATTTCAGCGGCTGACTCTACAACATTTTAGTTACATAGATGCCATCCAGAACTTGGTCAACTCTAGAACCCAATAATCGTCTGAGATGCTTATTTAGGTAGAATATGACATGTGAGGGTGATCAGTAATTGCAGTACCAAAGGCATTAGAAATTTAACTACCACCATTTTCATCAAATCTGGGACTAGCCAACACTTTCCCCTCTTTTCCCTGGGGGTATCTGACTTAATCATGACTTTTAAGATTTCTTTCCTTTTTTTTTTTAAATAGAGAGGGAATGGGGTTGTTTTCATTCTATGTCTTCCCCTTGCCCAAATGCCCAGATATTTGAAAACCTACACAGAATAACAATGTAGATAATTAACTAAATTTTTAAGTCTTTGGAGATCATCAAAATTAAATCTAAGCTCCATACCACGTAGTATTATACTTTTGCCCAGCCTCTGAATTGGGTCCAGAGCCTACATCCATTCTTAGACGTCTTAGAATCTTACACATGTCCATTAAAATCTTAAACTTCACATCACTGATGATGTGTCCCTACTTTTTAAGTGAAGAATTTAAAATTTGGTCTTACACTTGACATTAACCTCACAACATCTGAACTCTGATAAAGATATAGTGAGAGTAGTCTGTCAAATCTAGACCTTTAGCTAAGTAGAAATACATAAACAGAAAGTCTTTCATGGGTGGAAATATACTTCTCACTGGACCCACCATTTTTAACCGTTGTTCTTCCAGTATGAGCTAATCATGCTGCTCCCGCTCTTTTCATATAAATAGCTGAAAGGCCCCAGCCGTTGTGCACCTCACCATGCCTTTAAAGGCTATTCATTTTTAATTATTTTAGTCAGGAGCAGGAATTCACCTAGTTTTCTAAAACAATTCTCTAACAGCTCAGAGAAAAGGCAAAACACCTGAGTTAAGATATCCTTTCAATTGAAATGACAAGTGTAATAGATGTGTTCCAAAATCTTCTCCGTAACAGGGCTACATATTTTCCTCAGATCCTGTGTGTAGGAAGAAATTACTTTGAGAAACCTTTCCCCAGTCAATCATTTATCTGTTCTAGCAGGTGAGAAGGCAACCTTGCTGAAATAAGTGAAATTCACCTCCTTTCATTCCTATTGGTGATCTCTGACATCTTGAAAAGTGGAGACAATAAATAATTGCCAAGTAAATTATGGGCTGACCACTTTTACAAATTCGTTCTTGCAATTATATATTTGAATATTTGTAGGTATGCATGTCCTTGCTGTTTTGCTACCCTTCGCCCCCCAAATACTGCATCATTATTTGGTCCCTTAACTTCCCCCCCCCAACCTAGTTCCTTCTTAATATTTGCCAGTAGTCAGAGACATGAGGGGGCAGCACGCTCAAGAACTAAAGATTTGCCTAACAGAATCAGAGCTACTGCTCCATTACATCAAGTTGGACTCTGCCTTCTCCCAGAGCTGATTTTGTAGAGGTCGGTGATAAACTTGGCATAACCTTTGCTGAAACCCATTGAGGGAGTGTCCTTGGGGAAAGGAGTCATCTGCCAACACTATGGAGCAAGGAACTTTTGTGACCCCATGCCGACGAAATCCTCGAGATCTTGTGTCCACTCGCCTTGTTTTTTTTCATTGTTGGGTCTCTCTATTTTTTTAAGGGTGAAATGAAAATCCAACCATCTTACTCTGATGACCTCCTGTTGCAGAGAAATTATAGAGGTTAACAAGCCACAGAACTAAGAAATGTTTGTCTCTGGAGTTAACTTAATGCTTGAGAATGGCATGGAAATTGTTCAACATGAGATCCCACTTCATAAATGACACAGTAATTTTCCCCCCTAAGTAACTGAACACAGAACACGGTATATAGTACTTGACAGACACACCAGAGGAAACCATTTCTCTGTCATCCCACCACTGCCAATAATAATAATTTTTAAAAGGTTAAAAAGTCATTGGATTTGTCAGGTTACTTTAGAGGTTGGGGGGCTGGGGTGAGGATTTTACAATTAGAGACATCAGCTGAGCTTTTAATTGCAAGTTTCATAGAGAAAGGGACACTGATTTGAGTTTATAGAAGCACAATTTTATCATTCTGTGGCAAACATTTTTCTATTGAGATCTGCTAAATTGTAACATCTTTCTCCCTAAGTTACTTAAAGTAGTTGAGCTGGTTTGGAATTGTGGTAAATGCATAAACTGTGCCTTATTGATTTTTGTTGACATCTTACATGCTTTTTAAAAAATACATTCTTATCCTCCATTTGACAACTGTCAGTATAGCACATGCTTCTGGATAATAAGAGCAAATGAAGTGAATGAAACAATTTTCTTGACAAAAAAAAAAAGCAGTATTATTCAAAGGCACTCTATGATTTCTAATATGTCTCCATTAGATTGTTTTCTTTTCCCTCCAATGAAGTCACAAGATAAGAAATGGAAGAATAAAAGCCTCCTAGTGTTATTTCCTTGGTTACTAATATTAGTAATAAATAGAATGTTTTTGAAGAGAGATTACTTTGAGAGTGATGATAAATTCAGTCCTCTTAATTTTAGTGCACAGCTTTAATAAGGAATCTAACAAATACCACGTTCTCTTATTTCCTACATTACACACGTTAGCTAGAATGTCTTATAAAAAACTTGTAACTTATTTTACTGATGAATATGTATCTCGATAACATCAACTGCAGCCAATGTAGCTCCATACACTTTGTATAAATAGTAAGCCTCATCAACTGTTATGGTGTCTGAGAAATATAGGAAGCCACAAACACTGGAGCTATCAATAAGGCAGGCTTAATTCAAGCTTTACAAGACTAGCTTAACAGTGAGATAAATATACAGAAAGAGACAGACATTTTCCTATCCCTTATCTATATCTATCTATATATGCATATGTATATATAGATACATAAATGAGTTTCCTCTTGTATAATGGGGTTACTCATATTAAAAATGACAATACAGCAGGATACAAAAAAAATGCATTGACTTTTCATGACTTTGCGGTGATGGGCAGGTATTGCTTTATCTTACTGTTGTTTGATTAAAATGTTAATACAGTCTTGACTTGATAATCTCACCAGGTACACACAAAGCAAAAGGAAAAACAGAGAGAGAAGTCATGTTTGATGCCTTACAAATCGATTTGCATAAACCAAACACTCTGCTGGTGGTTGGGGTGTCGAATGCTTTATTTTGCTCATTGGCCACAGGGGCAATGATATTGTATTTGTTGATGCCAGAATTTAGCTTTCATGCATTAGCTCTGAAATGACAATATGCTTCAGCCCTCTCTGTGTTTAGCTCTGCCTCATTTGGAAATCTTTTAAGTAGTAATAATAATAATGTTTTGAGGAAATTGAGTGGAACACTAAATTATTCTCTGATACCTAAGTTCAAACTGTGCAAGGCTAAAGAAGCTTAAAATCAATGCACTTTTAAAGTCATTAGAGATCATAAATGAATTAAGTCTGTGTTGCTTTAGCTAAGCTTTTAGTGTGCTGTGGTATTATTACAAAATCAGCCTGAATCTGCATTAATTTCACAGTCTTTTTCTCTGAGAAGCCCAAGGGTGCATGATGAATAAAATGTAAATTTCAGAAGGCAGTGTTTTTATTAGTTAAAAGGGCAATGAGCCGTGCAGGGGGAATGTTGACCTGCGTGGTGGCCAAAGCTGGTACAAGTAGCAATAAAGGGAATAACTCAGGCACTAGAGACTCGGGCTATCCTACAGCAGAGCAAGGAGACAGTCTGCAACAGATACAAGTTCGAGGCATATCTAGAGCATGTGTTATTTCTCAGGTCAGAGCTCTGATGCATTTCATAGGATCGCAAATTTTGAAAGTCACAAAGATTTCCTTCCAAAAAAGTCCTTATGAATTTTAACATTTCATGCTGTTGAATATTCTCACAGTAATAATGCCAGTTATTCCTAGGAGAAATGGATAGTTACTAAACATTTTATACAGAGGTCTTCTTCGTGCTTATGCTTAAATAGCCTCATTATACATATATATGACAATATTTTTATTTTGATTTTTAATTCCTCTGATCTGGCAGAGAACTTTACCCCTGGCATTTTGAACTCTTCAAACTTTGTTTGCTAATTTGCCCTTGGTGCGAGAATTTTATTTGTTATTGCTTGAGAAGGAACAATAAAATTTGAAATGCAAAGCCCTGGTATGCGGGTTCCCTGAGTGAAAAGATGATCTGCCAGGGAGGAAATGTAAAATACCAACTTTTCCTCTTAGAAAATGCAAACTAAACCTTGCTCCTTTCAAACCCTGTGGCTAAAAAGGATCCAGCTCCTCCCACGTAAAAATAAACTAATAAATAAATAAATCTTCCTGCTTCGGTCAGATTAGCAAGTCAGCACTGTGAGTAAGAAATAAAATCAGCCTAAAACAAAACCGAGAAGTTGTTTATTTTTATGTACTACTGAGAACAGTGTCGTCTTGTGGCAGTTCTCGTAGACTGTGTTGGTTTAACAAGCGTCCAACCCTTTTGTCTTGTTGTTTTTTGTCTTTCCTGCTCCCTGTCCCCTTGTTTCCCACAGGCTGTGCGTTTGTCACATTTTCTACAAGGGCAATGGCACAGAATGCAATCAAAGCCATGCATCAGTCTCAGACCATGGAGGTACTGTATCATCTGCCCTTTCTTTGTTTTCTTTGTGCAAATGATTGGGAATGGTAAAGCAATACTCTCCTGTGTGGATCTTTCACATGACAATCACAGATTTCAACTTTCACCAACTCTCTCTCTCTACCTCCCTCCCTCTCTCTCTCTCTCTCTTTCTCTCTGATTTTTTTTCTTTAACGAGTTGAAATGTATTTAATAAGAGGCTTCCATTTAATTCCAATTCTAATAAATATTTAGGCTTTTTGTTTCAGTGGCATAAGTCTCACGTGTGAAACAATGTCTGATTTAACCAATGGAGTACCATTCGTTACCAAAAGGACCCAATTGATCCTTGAAGGGTTTGTAGGTAATAAAAAATGAAACCCAAACTTGGTTTGCCCTATATTAAAAACCCACGATATCTTACATAGGATCAAAAGATATTTAATTCCTCCGGTTAAGCAGAGTTAACTTGTGCACAAGTCCTTAAGCATCGAATTTGGGGGAAAAAAATGAACATTTCTTCTACTTTACTTATTTCATTAAAATGCTAATTCTGTCACATGCCACTGACAGGTTGGATTTGTCTTCTTACCAGAAAATGATAAAGGCTTGCATAAGCATTCTTTAACATCCCCCCTGCTACCTTTCAACAACTGACTTTTCAGTGATGAACAGTGCAAAGAATTAAATTTTACTCCCTTAATGAGAGACAGTGGCTTTAGGGAAAAAAAAAGAAATTTACTGGTGTGGTTGGTTTTTGTTTTTGTTTTTGTTTTTTTAATCCCACCAAGTATTGACAGAGGGCTATGCACTTTTAGTCTATGATTTGGGTCGTGGCCTTTCAGAGTTTTGCACAAAAGCATCCCAAGAGTGATATGCCTTTACTTATTCTGTATTGTCAAATAGAATCATTTGAGAGTGCATGTTCTACTGTATTATGTTTACTGTATCTTTGTGTATGGGTGATCTTTTCAGAGGTGGCATTGTGGTGTTCTGTTCAGCTATGTTTATTTTTTAATATATATTTTTAAAATGAAGACCTTTTTAGTTTCCTCAGTGTGGGAAAAAACAGTTAATTGATCTGTTTGGGGTTCATTTTCTTTTGTTCTGAGGAGGGTGGTGGGGGAGGTATGAGGGAGGGGGTTGGGGGTTTTGTTTGTTCTTGCAATGCTGGGTCTCCCAAAGCATGCTGGGAACCAAGTGATCATCATGCGTCACATCGTTCAGGCAGTTTTATAATGAGTGAAAAGGTGGGTGGAAAATTGGAAAAGAAGTATGCATGATGTTGTCACTAACTGTCTCCTGTACTTTTCTGAGTAACAACATTAGCATTGAAAAAGCTATTATTGTCTTTTTCAAACATTCCATTTAACTTTGAAATTCCTACCATATCTTATATAATCTATGTGTTTTCCTTTCAGTGCAATGCATTTTTAAAGACATCCCCCTCCCCTGCCTAAAGGTAGTCTTACAAGTGAGTCAGCCATGATAGGAAACAATGAATAGCAGCATTTGAAATATCTAGGAATCTGAGAGTGCCCAAGGTAGTCACATATGTACACATCTCTAATAGGATATAGTTTCAGTCTTTTTCAGTCCATATTTTTGTAAGGAAATGTAGGCCAGCCTTATTTTCTGCTAGATTTTATTTTGGACAAAAAAAAAAAATGTTGTTGATGAAAATGTCTTTACATGTATTATTTTCTATGTGTTTAAAAAAAAAAAAGGCAAGATGATGGCTTTCACTCCTTTCACTCAAATTGGCCCCACCTTAGAGAGTTTTTCAATTGAAAAAAGAACTCTTTTCTCCCTCAAAGTCATAGGAAGGTTTAAAAAAAGCCCCGCCCCTTACTACATCCGCTTTTAATTAGTGCGGAAAGTGATAGGCTGTAGAGAATGAGAACAAGTGAGCTTTCTAAGGCTCCCTATAAATGAAGACAATCAAGATCATATAAAAGGGGAGACTGGGAACCAGCAGCAAGACTAAGGAAATAGTAGACTTTTGCTGTAAAAAGAATACAAGGGTTGTAGAGAAGGGATGGGGGTGGGGGTGGGGAATTTGCATTGTTTATAATGACATTCCGAAGTAATTCATAGCCCTTGGTTAGTAATATCTACCACATCAAATAAGCTTGAATTTTGAAAGCTAATATTCAACCTTATAGGGAACTTTAAAAAAAGGGGGGCCTTTAAGCACTGTGTCTTATTTTTTTCAGTTCCAAAAATTGAAAGTTATGTATTATAAAATCAGGTTTCAGTTAGGCAAACCAAAGTTTTTTTTTTTTAATTTCATTATTTTCAGTACTTTGCCACACATCATTGACTAAGATGTATTTTCAAAGTGAGATCTGAAGTCACAATGATGAGGACGTTAATGCTTAAAAAGAATGCGTCCTTGGAAATAATTAATTTCTGTATTATGTGTTCTCCTCTCTCCCTCCCCTTCCCGTTGCTCTCTCTCTTTGTTTAAGCAAGTCATTTTAAAAAGCCATAATCACTGGTCTAATTTTTTGCTTATATGTCAGTTTTTAATATTTAAAAAAGGAAAACAACAAACTTGCCATTAGGAAGAGATGATACAATTTGTTATGGAACAAATCTGACATAGTAATAACATCCCTATTCCCATACAAAACCACTTTGCTGTATAATTTCCATGTTCAGAATGTTTTGAAAGTGATGAAGTGGTGAAATATGGAGGAGATGACAAAAACTGAGTTATAGATTAAAAAATGGTGGCGATATTGTTTTTATGTAATTTACTGGCATTCGGCATTCTTAACTGTGATTCGGGATTCCTGGGCTGAGTGATGATTTGCTAGAAGCGGAGCACTGCAAGAGCCACCTCATTTTTCTTACATTTTCCTCCAATTCTATATTATTCTTTGAAAGAGAAATGAGTACCCCAAGTATGCTAACTACAATATCAAGCTGTAAACCAGTATCCACCCAAGGTGATCTGAACAGAGAATGCAAGTTTATTTTCTGAGGAAGAAAGAGAATTATCCTATAGGAAAAGGGAAAAGTTCTTTTTTAAAAATTCTGAGAGAGAGATCTGTTACCAAAAAAATTCTTTACTTAATGATCTGGGTGGAATTTCTCCCTTTTACTTTAAGCAAAACATAAAATATTTTATTGTGATAGGATGCGCAGGCTAACTAAAGTCAGGAAAAATGGAAGAGTATAGCTCTGCTGACTATTTTCCAAATTGCTAATTTTTTAAAAGATCATTGAGAAGGAACAAAATATCTCAAACATGAGATGGTATTGCTATAGTTTGCTCAATACTTCTGTCAAATGTAAAATTATGTTAGGCTAATCTCTAACTTAATATTCCTGTTCTCTTTATAAGAGTAGAGAAATGGAACTCTCCTGTAGACATTCCTAGAATGGTGGGATGTGCTTAGAAAAGAAGAAGGGGAAAATCTATTGTTTCTCCTACTGCATGAAATGCAGTTGACAGAGTCTATCTTTTTTGTGTTTCAGCTCTGGTGATGGCAGTTAGGGTGGATATGATATGGTAAGGGGAGCAAAGGTTTTATGGGCATCAGCCAGCTATTTTGTATACAAAGAGAAATCTCATGTTCCTGCTCTCTCACTCATTCTTTCCTCCATTTCCACATTCTTAAAATGAAGACCACATCCTCATGCCACTGTTCTCTGGATCTGGCTATTGTCAGGATCCTAGTGCTCAAAAATTCATGGCCCTAAAAACATAAACATGGCCTGATCTTCAGTAATCAGCCTGTCAACATGTTGCTACTTTGATGTACTTATAATAAAATCCTTTTAATTCTAAAACACACACACTCATACACACAAATGGGGAGCTAAGAACTAATTAAATGCATGAGAGACTTTTTCATTCTTGTTACAATTTCACTCCTTATTTGTCCTTGGCTGATACGTGGGAATCAAACATTTGATAATCAATCAACGTTTATTAAATAACTACTATATGCCAAGCACTGTGGTATAGAAACATACAAAGAGATAAGTGCATCTGTAAGACATATGAGTCAGGAAGCTCAACTAAAGAACACTGATAAGGTCTGTTGTCTCTATGAGAGTCCTGAAAAAGGCTGAAAAGGGAGAGAGAGAGAGAGAGAGACTTCAATAAAGAGAGAAAAGGAATTCCACAGTTCTGAAAGAAACTTGGGCATGAGTTCTATTAAGTTCAGGTTAGTGTTGGGGACTCAGGAAGACTCCAGGTCAGTCCAGCCCAGCCCATCCACTGTAACCCAGGTTACAGAGATCCCAGATCGGTCTACTCCAGGAGCAGAAGAAAATTCCCTCTGTAGTGTAACTTCCTCTTCATTTTCCAATGTGTCCAACCACAGGGCTGTTCTTCACCTATTGTGGTGAAGTTTGCTGACACCCAGAAGGACAAAGAACAAAGGCGTCTTCAACAGCAGTTGGCACAGCAGATGCAACAGCTCAATACTGCCACTTGGGGGAACCTGACGGGCCTGGGTGGACTCACTCCACAGTACCTGGCGGTAAGTGCATCAGAAACATAGTCTTCCAAAATATCAAATATTGACACACCCCCATGTACTTTAAGATTACTTTTCTTCTCTTGGCCACTCCAAGAACTTTGGTGGGGTTTGTTTATATTTTGCACCCAAAACAATTACCCAGTTCTCGATGGATTGTTAAAGTTCACCTATTTAAATTGAGTATCATAGCAATTTTAAATCATTGGCACAAGAGTTGTCTCACATATGATGCAGGCTAGGCTTCCTAGAATCTGCATCACGTACTTCCTAGAATCTGAATGGGCTTTAGATTCTAGCTGCAGGTTCCCCACCCCTATATGTAGCCTAGCTTGCCTCATACAGGTATCCAAAATAAATGAGCCCTCCAACTTAGGTTTGAACCTTTATTTCACTGAAAGCCAAAAGCTCACTACCTCACAAAGAAGTAACTCATTCCATTTGTAGACAGTTCTTCTGGTTATAAAATTATTTTTTAATTGAATCAAGTCAACAAGCTTTTATTAGGTGCCAGCTTCTTGTCAGGGATGCAAAGAAAGTCTCTGCTCAGATGTCTCCATCTTGCTTACAAAGACGGCACGATTTTGTCCAATGCTATGTTAAAAAACAATGGGCAGCTCGGTGGAATAGCGGAATGGAGAGAGTACTGGGATTGGAATCAGGAAGACTCACCTTCATGAATTCGAATCTAGCCTCAAACACTTAATAGTTATGCGACCCTGAGCAAGTCACCTAACTTTGTTTGCCTCAATTCCTCATCTGTAAAATGTGTTGGAGAAGGAAATGGCAAAAAGCTCCATTATCTGAAAGTTTCCCTCCAACAACCTTGTCAGATAGGCAGTACAAATATTATAATCTCTGTTTTGAACATAAGGAAACTGAGGTTCAGAGAGATTGTTAATTGCTCAAGGTTAGACACCTAATGTCAGAAGTAGGATTTAAATCCCCATCTTCCTTTCCATTAGACTGTCCTGTCTTTCATTTTTTAAAATTAAGCATAGTAGGATGGAATAAGACCCAATTTCTTTCCACTAGAAGCTTATGTGCTAATACAAGTTAGAATAGAATAAGTGCAGTTGAGAAGTTCAAAGTGCCATTAGAAATTTGAGGAGGAAGAGATCATGATTAGAAAGTAGTCAAGGCTTCTTAGAGAAGCTGCCTCATGAACAAGGGTAGAAAAATGACAGCCAGGTTGCACAGTGGTTAGAACACCTAACTTGAAGTCAGGAAGATTCATCTTCCTGAGTTCAAATCTCAAGACTTACTAGCTGTGTGACCCTGGGCAAGTCACTTGCCTCAGTTGCCTCATCTGTAAAATGAGCTGAAGAAAGAAACGGCAAACCACTCCAGTATCTTTGCCAAGAAAACCTCAAATGGGGTCACAAAGAGTTGGACACAACTGAGCAACGACAACAAAGAACAGAGATGGGAATGAGGGCTAGGGAATAATGTGGTAAAAGGCACAAGGACATGGGAATATAAAATGAGCGAGTATTCCATTTGGACTGAAATAAGTGGTTTAAGATAAAGCATGAAAGATAGGTTAGATCCAAATTATAGAGGGCCTTGATATTATGTACATAATGAAGAGTTAACAGTATTTTTGAGTGGAAGGGTATGATAGCAAGATTGCATAGGCAAAAATGTCAAGAATAGATTAGAGAGCAGGATTTAAACTTTGAAAGGAGCTCATCCAGTCTGTCTTTTTCTACAGATTAAGAAATTCAGGCCCAAATAAGTTAAATATACTTGCTCAGTATAACATGAGAAATAATTAACGTTTGGGATTCAATTGAGGAGATACCTGAAATCCTGTTTCTCTAAAGTTTCCTTCAAGTCCCTTTCCTTAAAGTCCCTTTAAGGTAGGGATTCTTAATCTAGCATCCATTAGTAGATTTCAGTGGGTCCATGAACTTAGATGGAAAGAAAATACATCTTCGTTTTCACTAACCTTTAGTAGAATTTTAGTGTCTTCTTCAATTATGCAGATAGGCAACAAACATTCTGAAAAGGGGTTCACAGGCTTCACCAGGCTTCCAAAGAGGTGTGTCAGAGTGCCTTCACTTACCTCGATCAGTGTCACACAAATTCTCAAACAATTCATAACAGAATTAGTTTTGACTATATCTCTAAAATATATAGAGATAAATATATAGATATAATATACACACACATACATTTTTGTGATCCTAAGCATATCACTTTTCCTCCCTAGGCTTTGTTTTCCTCATCTGAAAAATGGGGGGAAGTGATTTCAATGATCTCTCAGGGCTTTTTCATATCAAAAACCTCTATAGATTAGAGGGGTATGTGTGTATATTATTGGAACTTTGAAATATGTCCATTCTTAACACATATCCAACTTAAAAATTGTGTCTCTAGAAACTATCAGGACCCAAACTTCACCCAGGGGACAACAGTTCCCTATAGTATGTTTTACAGATCTCTAAGTAAAATCCTGGAAAATATTTTTAAGTGATCAGTTGATTTTATGGCCCACCAAATACGCCAGAATTATAAGTTTAAAGTTAATAAATTCAGTGAGCATGTGGTTATTTCTAGGTATGACTGTTTTTATTTTTTTAACTTAAAAGTCAAGAATGATCTTTCATATATGCTTAGGCTTCATAAATGCAAAGACACATAAACTGTGTTTATATTACATCCACCATTTTTAGATAAACTGATAATTGGAGCAAACAAGTTATTTTAATAATTTTTTAAAATCACTAAAGTTCATCCATACTTGTGCTGGATTGGCCAAATCAACCAGTAGTTTAGGCATGACATGGACAGAAACACACGCACATATATGTGTGTGTATATACATATATATACATACACATATATATATATATATCACTGTATACCTAATGATGTGTCTGTAGCTTCTTCTATGTAGGCAGAGGAAAATTTATCATTTGTAAAAGCTCTCAAGGAATCTCTGGAGACCTCCTCACAGATACATTATGTTGTTATTTGCAAAGATTCTGACATACTTATAATCCATTGCTTCGGGCACTAAAGCAACCTCTCCAGAGTTTTGACCAATAATGGATTTTGCTGTACCACTGGAAGACATCAATTTTAACAGTATGACCCATAGAAAGAGGTAATACGGTATGGTGGGGTAAGCACTGACTTTGGAGCCAGGGAACTTGGCTTCAAATTCTGGCTATCAACCAATGTTGGACTAGTCTCCAGACTTCTGTTTCCTCATCTTTGATCAGTTAAAGTGGTTGGATCCTCTATGCCTATGGTCTCTTCTAGGGCTGAGTTCTCTGACACAGTTTCTTGTTATTAATGCTGTGTGTGTGTGTGTGTGTGTGTGTAGTTGGCTGGTACCAGGTGTTTTTCTAGTGACCCATTAGCCAATGAATCTGTTTTCACAGAGTGACAGAGAAATCTAAACTGGGAGGGAAGATGAGGGGATTAGGGGAATGGACCTTGATTGACAGGGGTGAGTTATGGTACCTACTAGACTATAGAGAGTTATAATTAGTCACGCTATGTTGATTTCAATAGATTTAACACCTGGTTGTTAAAAAGAGTAAATTGATTAATTGTTTTAAAGCAGCCATGTTATTGAGTTTCCCCAGTGTCAGTGTGTTTCTTAATAGAGATTAGACATTAATATGGATTTACTGCACCGACTCTAGGGACCTGCAGTCCATCAATAGGCAACAGTAGGCAAATATGTAAAAGTGAAGGAAACTACATGTGCGCGTACTTAGTTTCATTTGGAAGGCACTTAATGCCAAACTTTGTGGCTCAGTATTTGGAAGGGGGTGGGGGGGTCACAAAGAGTCATGCCACTGAAATGACTCAGCAACAACAACAAAAATTTTTCTTGTTGCAGGCAGTGAGGTGGCACAATGGATAGAATACCAGGCCTAGAATCAGGAAGTTGAAATCTGGCCTCAGACATTCAGTAGCTGTGGGACCCTGGGCAAGTCATTTAACCCTGTTGGTCTCAGTTTCCTCACCTGTAAAAAATGTGATGGAGAAGGAAATGGCAAACTACTCCAGTATCTCTGCCAAGAAAACCCCTCAGAGGGTCATGAAGAGTCGATCATGACTGAAATGACTGCACAATAAAACAACTTTTATTGAATTCCTTTTATGACCACGTATTCTTTCACTTGCAGCTTCTGCAACAGGCAACCTCTTCCAGTAACCTGGGTGCATTCAGTGGCATTCAGCAAATGGCTGGTAAGTCAAAAAACATACCTTGACTTCTAATAGTATAGCAATTTCTGAGACCCTGTGGGATCTTAATCATTAATGGTCTTCAGATTAGGTAAGATGGCAGACTGAGCAAACCAAGAGATAAAATAGAGAAAAACATTTGATTTGTTACCAGTCAGGTTATCAGTTTGATGTAAAGGAATGAATGCTGGACATAGAACAAGGAAATCAGAGTTGACTTCAGCATTCACTAGCTTTCTGACCATGGGCAAGTCAGTTACTATCTCTGAGCCTCAGTTTCTTTATCTGTATGGAGCAGATTTCTGGAAGCCCACTGATGAAGGGGACCCCAGTGATAACGTGTAAAACTGAGATAATCATATTTGCCTCCCTTTGCCTTCTCTACAGGGTTGTAAGAGAAGTGCTTTGTAAACTTTAAAGCACTATATAAATCTTGACTATTATTAGGTACTTAAATTGGGACTGGCTCTGGGGTTGGTCTCATCTCGGGCATTTAAATCTCAAATTCATTACAGTCACAAATTGAGAAGTCTCCTTAGTTGTATCCTCTACCAGCAGCAATGAAGCAACTTTAGGATTACAGAGGGATTTCCAACAAGATTTCTCTATCCAGACAGCCAAATTAATGACAACCCTCTAACATTTTAATAATAGGCAGTCAATAAAAATGTTCTGACCTTCTTAATGAAAGCCAAGATTACAGACCTACCTTTGATACAAGTTTGCAATCCCTTGATAACCACAGACAATTAACTGGATACCTTTTTGGACTCCAGTACCCGGGCTGACAGAATTGTGCAACAGAAGCTTTTATCTCGAAGTATAATCTTTGGTCTCTAGAAAAATCAAAGTGTAACTGTATTTGAAAGCTAGCTCGCTGAAGGATTTCTTTTGGTAATGAGCTGTGCTGGTAGTAACTGAGGTGTAGTGATTAGTAAAAGGTCACCCCCACTGTGTGACCTTCCATGCTGATATCCTAACTTAACGTGATGCCAACGAAGGCAGTATGGGCAATAGATCAGAACACCAATGCCCATTACACCTGCCACGAAAAGCAGTTAGAAAGCTTTTTCCTTGTTTGATACCAAAAGGGGCGGGGGAAAGAGATGGCAGAATTGGGTATGTGGAAAGCAGATTCAGTTTATTTTAATCATGGACACAGAGAGAGAATCAATGAAATGAGACCTAAGTGCCCTGAATAAAAGGCCAAGCTTTTTTATTCATCATTACCCTCCTTCCCCCCCCCCAAAAAAAAGCCTTTTTCTTTCATTTCTTTTTCCCTTTCCTTAAACAAAAATCCCATCTTTGGCCTCAGCCTGTTTTACTTTGAATGAATCTTGAAAGACTTTTAATGAGTATAGATGGGTTTCTCCCCATAGGTGTTCAATTCCAGCATGCCATTATTACAGTAGCATCACAGACGAACGTTAACTTGTTGTCCGTCCATCTAAATTGGCCTGTGGATGACAATATTGCTGAATGAGCCTCTATTCCTGAAACCTGCCAGCCCTGCCTACACTCTCTATTGCATTGTTTCTGCTCTAGCATTTGAGCCATCGGAAAAACATGTCTTAATGTGATGAAATGAACAGGAGTCATTCAGTAGCATCCTTGTCCTGCAGCTTGGGAACTTGGCCTTGGAGCCCACAATCACGTTTAATATCTAACATCTTTTTAGTTCCCTTGAGTGGCCTAGCAAGGCAATAGGAAGACATGCAAAGGGAGTTTTCTAACATAGAAGGGCATGTGATCCAAAGCATAGGTCAGGTATGTTGTTGCTGCTGTTAGGAAATGGTTAGTTTTTCCTCCAATAACCTGAGATCTCCTAGATCCAATATTCAGGGTTTTCCTGACAGGATGACCTGGCACTTCTGCTGCCACACTTGAATTATGCAGAGAAGGTCATTGGGTCCTGAAGCTACTGCCAAGGGTGTTATTTCCTATGGGCACAGTGGCATGTCATTCTGCATTAGGATGCTGTGCTCCTCTACCTCGCCAACTACAGGTCAGATCATTAGTGCTTGTATGCATCATGTGCTCATTTAAATATTGTGTTTGTCTAGAGGAGTTATTCCATAAGGCAATTCCTTCACTTCATGCCCAGGCTGCTGAGCAGATGGTTAATTTAATGCCACTCTGTGTTTGCTCTGGGCCTTCCAGAATATGCCTTTCTTGAACCTCAAACATCTTAAATTCAATAAACTGAATCTCAATTGGCTGTGAAATCAAATGCAGTACAGTCGTCAATCAGCTCTCATCATCCTACACTTTCAAAATGTGAGAAATGGACTGTAGGTGCCACAGCTCTCTCAGTTGTTTCTACAAAGGGAAGAGTCGTCCGTCACACAAAGGATTACAGAGTGAGCATCTTCTTAAATATTGTAAGTGTTGGTATGTTGCTCTTTGCTTTCTAATAAGAGTAACCTGGATGTGTTCCTGCTCTAGCATCCTCTTACAAAGCTGCAAAAGGAGGCGGAATTCTTTACTTTGCCTCTAAAGATAAACCAGTAGTCCTTTGAGGTCAGCCTTGTGGGTTAGTGATGGCTCTAGCAGGAGACACACTGAGGTTGATTGTGGATTGAGCTTAAAACAGCTGCTCAGAGTCCTTCTCTTCAAAGCTCAGATTTGATTGTTCGGGTATTATTAAGACATACTGATATCTGATGTTAAGCATTTTGGGAACAAGACACACCTAAGTCACAGTACTGGGCACCCAGAAGATCAAACAGTCAATTAACGAGCAAGAACCTGGTATGTACCAGCCACTGTGCTAGGCACTGGGGGTATAAATACAAAGACGGAAACAATCCCAATGCACAAGTACATCTGTTAAGAATATACAGAATAAATGTGAAGAGACTAAATCTAAATAAATACAACGTGATTATATATAAAGTAATTTGGGAGAGAGAGAGAACTAGCAGCGGAGGAAACCAAGGAAGGCAGTGCTCTGGATGCAACCTGAAGGAAGAGATGGAGTCTTCGAGGCATAGGCAAGGAAGAAGTAGAACAACCCCTACTCTCAAAGAGCATAATTACAGTCTCTCGCATGAGACAAGTAGTACATAAATATATGAAAACATATATCAGTATAAACACAAAAAGAATCAATCCAAATAAATATAAGGGTGTTAAGGAAGAGAAATACATGTTGATTATTGATACATGATGGCAGGGGGCGTATGTTCAATTCAATTCAGTAAGTACCTACATAATGGAATGCAATGTATAAAATTTAAGGGGTCAGTCCAGCCAGGAGAATTTCAGCAAAGTGAAATGTATTTTTTGAAGCCGATAGTATTTTTGTTATATGCAAGCTTTCATGCCGTAATGGTCCATCTTTCAGGAGACTGAGAGGTTTATAAACAATGTGTAAAATGCTTAGTTCCTACACAATAAAGCACTTTGCTGTTTGGGTAGAAAATAAAACCACAGAAAGAAGAAAAATAATTTTTAAATGACAAGACACTAAGTAATTGTATCAATAAAAATCAAGAGACATGAGATATGTTTTTCCTCTCAATCTCATTATTGCCCTTTCAATTCATAATTAACTTTAAACATCCATTATTGTTTGGTGAAAAGGGGAACATATATTAAATAAAGAACCTAAAAGCAGAAAATGGGTTGAAATCACATCTTTGGGAACTGAAAGCTTTTAGGTACTTTTATTTATTAGCTTTATATTTCCTTTGAGGTTTTTTTTACCCCTTCGCAAGCCAAAACTTGCTACAAACTTTCCCATTTCTCAGGAAGCTTTGATGTCTGGTTTATTGGAATTTCTGAAACCTCAAAAAGGGTCCTGCTTGTGATATCTGGCTAAGATTCCGGGGAGGCAGGGGTTTGATTTTATCTCTGTCTTTTCTGTTGCTTAATTTCTTTGTAACATATTTTATCTCACAAGAAAGTGTTAGGAACATGCCATATAAGTATAAAAGACATGAATCTTGCATCTGCCATTTATGCCATTCTGTGTGATCTTGGACAAGTCATTCAAGAGTCTGGGGCCCTCATAAATGAAATGACAGTGAGGATGAACTAGTAGCGCCTCTAAGATCTCTTCTAGCTCTAAATCTGTGATCCTGTCATCTCCCTGGGGTCACTGTTTCCTCTCCTGTAAAAACAGAGAGTTGACCATGATACCTTCCCATGACCATCTATTATGCCACCTCTCTCCTGCCTCAGGCTACCACACCCAGCCTACCTCTCTCTATGCCACCCTTCTAACCAAACCCAAAACCAGGCTTGAGGGAAGGCTGCTCTGTTTCAGCATTTTCAGGTGACTTTACAGGTAACAATCAATTGAGGCCCTGTAAACTGAACTGTAGTGAAGTTGACCTGAAGCAAAGTACTGACTTGTCTGTCCATTATGTGAGTCACAACCTTGGACATACTTGGCTCCAGTAGTGCTACTAGGAAAGAGAAGGACAGAAATGTTGATGGGAAAGCTGCATGCCCCAAATTCTGGAAACCAACTCGAAATGTATGATTTTGAGGCAGGTTGAGAAGTAGAGGATGTAAGGAGAAAAATCATATTAAATGAATAACAGAGATTCTGGAACTATCAGTAAAGAGAAGGATATTTTTGTAAAGCAGAAAAGGTCTTTACTCAGCAGTAAGCATCCTTTGATAGGGCAGTTCTCAAACTTTTTGATCTCAGGACCTCTCTATACTATTAAATAATATTGAGGGGACCCCCCAAGAGCTTTTGTTTATATGGCATATACCTATGGATGTTTATTGTATTCAAAATTCATCTGAATATTACTATGAAAATAATTTTGACCTCACAAACTCCCTGAAAGGGTCTTAGAGACCTGAAGGGGTCTCCAAATCACAGTTCACTCCAGGATGAGTAGAATCCAAAGACTCAAAAAAATTTCATGATGAGAAAACTTGATTTTTTTTTTTTTAAGAAGGAAAACGGCAAACGGCAAACTTCCACAAACGAGGTACAAGTCATTACTGGTTCTCCAAGAAGAATGCTTTAGTGTAACAAGTTG